GGACACCCTGTATAGATGCAAGGTACTCGGCGTTACAAGTGTATCACCAACACGATAGCGGGAGATCGCCGTGTAAGGATACATTATATAAGCGTAAGTCGTCGGAATATCGTCGGAGTCGGGAACCGCGTATCGCTCGATCATCAGGTTAAGCAACGCCTTAGCGCGGTCGGGACACAGATGGTGACCGATCGGTTGCCGGCTTGGGGTGGTCCAATATCTTTAGTGCATTTTTTATACCGCGCATAAGTTCTGACAATTGAATATCTCCTAATTTGGCGGTACTCTATCTTCTCTTCAGTTTCCGACGGTACACGGAGAAAAATAATTTTGCTCTTTTAACAAAATCGTCGTTGCTCCTGCATATTCGTACACTGAGAGAGAAATTATATTAAAATCAACAAATATCTCTTTGATGGGTACCATTAACATATTTACTTAAATCTACATTCTCTTTATTTAAATCAAATATTGTTTACCTGATTTAAATAAACAATTTTTTGTTTAAATAAAGAGAATGTAGATTTAAGTAAATATGTTACTGGCACCGATCAAAGATTTGTTGATTTTAATATAATTTTTCTTTCAGTGACATCAAAAATTTCAGTTGACGTAACTAATTTTACAAATTATTCGTTATCAGAGCGGAAATAGTTTCGTTATCAGGATAGAAAAAATTTATTGAGTGTATTTGTCCTATGAATCACGTTTGCTATTGATGCAAAATAATATATCCTTAGCAAATTTATTTGCTATCGGAGCAAAACTGCAACTGCTTATATAAATCCATCATGATTCGTATAGCAAAATAATTTGTAGATTCAGCAAATTATATCCAGCAAATAGTGATTAGTACTCTTAGCAAATCTTTTTGCTGTCCATATAATAATGAAAAGATTTTGCTAGACCAGCAGAAAATTTGCTGGGTCAACAAATTATTTTTTTCCGTGTACTTATGCCCCTTGTAATTACATAGAGTGTTTACTAGAGATATACCAACTATTCGAATTCAAATCGAATCAAGTGAAATTATTCAAATTCAAATAATTTGAAAATTTCGAATCGAAAAGGTTCAAATACGGATCGCGCATTAGTATTAACGAAAAACTATTAAAGACATCCAGCCTTACGGGAATTAGCATGACTTGAAAAGTTTGTTATACATTAAAGTTCCTGGCTTCTCGCACTGTCTATCTCTTTTTAATACGTCAGAATTTTTTAATACGTCTTTTTATAACGTCAGAAGCGAGAAATTGTATGCTAAAAATCCTTGCGAAATACGTTTAAATAAAAATATATATCCATAAAGTGACACTTGCAGTCAATTAAATAAATTTGTAAAATATTCCGTGCACTTCTCTTTTGCTCCTTTGACAATCAATAATTTGTCGTAAATTAACGTGACATACAATTCATCTTATTAACTTATTTTTTCATCTATTTCTATTCAAATTAATTTATTATTAATTAATAAATTATTAATTACTTTATATTAATTATTTATTCATTAATAAATTTATTATTGATTGTTAGAACAAAAAGGAAGTGCACGGAATATCTTATAAATTTGTTTAATTGCAACTGTTACTTTATGGATATATATTTTTATTTCAATATATTTCGCAAGAATTTTTAGCATACATTTTCTCTCTTCTGACGTCATTAAAAAAAGAGATAGCCAATACGAGGGGCCAAGGGGCTTAAGATTTTCTTCAAAAATATTAAAAGAAGATAGTAGCTGCTAGATAAACTCTTATCGACTCTTACCAACTGTTGGATCGATATGTGTCGTTGCGCAGCTTTCAAGACCGGAACTGTATTCCATACATCTTTACCGACTATATATTATATATTTCTTATCTTAAAAATGAATTGATATCACATGATCAGTGTTATTTCTCTCATACTGAAGTCACTATTTTCATGTTCAATGATTATGTTAATTAAAAGTTCTTTCCACGATTCGACTCAATTCAAATTTGAAGTTAAAATCTGAGATTCGATTCAATTCGTCTCGACATAAAAAATCTTTGATTCGCACATCTCTAGTTTTTATTTCAACATATACTGCCAATTGTTGGCGATACATGCTTAAGAGTGTAAGCCTTAACAACGTTCGCGCTGAGGGATCGTCTGCGCAGTTACATTTTGGAGTCTGTCGATTAGTCCGCGAATCGATCGTGCATCCGTTGTCCCCTCCTTCTTTTCTAAACTCATGAAAAGAACGGAAAGTCCCATTGACGCGGGCTCATTAACGACAATCGATTGGAAATTGCCTGCCGCGGTTTATTAGAGCTCGATTAAAGGCGGAGAGGTCGTTTCAATCGATTACTTTTTTTTTTTACCACGGCGCGCGGGACGATTTGTGCGCAAATGTTCGATTTGTGTGTCGGAGCGATGCGAGAGAAGGGGAAACACACTCCTTGCCCCTGCGCTAAAAGCAAACGAGGTGTTTTTCGCTTTTAGTTCCCTTCGCGTGTGAATCCGCACTCGTGAACCGCGGTCTCTCAGGCCAACGTTTTTCGCGAAACACCCAGATCCAAATAGAGAATGTTTCATATCCCGAACAGAGGAAGAGGAGGAGGAGGAAGAGGCGCATTTTCCGCGAATCCGAGTACATCAGTGTGAATCACCGTGGTCGCCGTCGATCGTGCGCCAACAAACCCCAGCGGGACATTCGTTTAATCCGCGCGTTTAAAGTCGCTCTTTCGAGCTCTCCCGGCGGCGCAAATGAGGTACGACGCGCGGCAAAGAGCATGGCGGAAATTGCGCGACTCGCTGAATTAATTTCCGCGCGCGCTCGCATCGGCGCGGCTAATCGGCGAGACAGAATGTTAATAACCTTGTGTCGCGCAAAAGAGCGGAATATAGCGTCGGAAGGGCGGCCGCGCGCGAGCGACGCGGGAAAAACCAAAGGTGTACGCTCGAGCCGCTCGGCGAATGCGCGGCGGATTAACTCAATCAGCTGTGCCGGGAATGAGAATAAAAAGCCGCGCGCTCTCGGCGAATGCCAAGTGCGCTTATTTAAGGTTAAGTCGCGAACGCGAAAACTCCCTTCGACGGTGGGAGGGAGAGGTGGAGGAGAAAGAAATACGGACGAAGCGAGACTCGCCGTGGGGGCCCCGACCGGGACCGTGAGAGCAGTAATTGGAACGTAGTTTAAGCCACTTTAATTACTATACGAGTCAAGGGAGCGAGAGGGAGAGTTCTTTGTCGTGGAGTTTAAATAACTTTCATGTAAGGCTCGTTACGACTTCCTCGTTGGAACGAATCGGGAATCGCGACCGTCGACAAGCCACGAGCGAAGAAGAAGAAGAAGAAGAAGTAGTAGTGGTAATGGTGGTGGTAGTACTGATAGTTGTGATAACAAGAAAAATAGAAGAAACAAAGGTCGGACGTTACGACGCGAAGAGTAGCGCTTAAACGCGTAGCCGAAGGCAGCAAAGGGCGAGCGAAATAGCGAGGATCGCGAAACGCAAACGAGACGTTTTATATCGCGAATATGAAATATCGCCGCTCTCGCGCGCGATTGTACCTTCGGATTTATAACACTCCGAGTCCGGACGGGAAGGGGCTCGACGGCTCGGCGAAACTTTCGGAGATCCTTTCTGCTGCGCTGTGACGCATGAGCGCGTTTATTTTGAAAGTGCCGTAAGTCCGGCCCGCGCGCGCGGCAGCATTATGAGTTTCGAGCGAAAACCCCCGGACATAAACTGATACCCCTCGGCCGTATCGATCCCGCCAAAGTTCTCGAAACTAGACTCGCGCCGTTTACAAACTGCGAAATGCGCGCGAATACACAGACACATCCACTGTGTATGTGCAGTCGTGCGAGCAAAGAGCCGAAGAGAATAGCAGCGCGTAGAGAAAGAGAGAGAGAGAGAG